GAGAGAGAGAGAGAGAGAGAGAGAGAGAGAGAGAGAGAGAGAGAGAGAGAGAATTAATGTGAAAGATTTAGGATCTGCAGTAGGTGTCTTTCTTGGAGTCCAGAGAAAGGGCCATCCCAGAAAGGAATGATGAAGAACTGGATTCTGGTCATAATGAATATGAATCATCCACAGCATAGCCACAAGGACATTTCTGGAGATGATAGGAACATCATACCTGGATCAGCTTTGTGCACATTGTCTCCTGGTTGTTGTCCAACCATAGGAGAATCAGCAGCTGTTCCTTCTGCTGCAACCACTTGCCCTAATCACTACTTAGCTGGTTCCTGCCATTGGATAGTTCCTCCTACAGGGACCTCTCAGAAAGGCCTTTCTGACAGAACACACCACAGAAATCACTTCAGTCTTTACAACTGTTTTAATGATCTGCATGGCATGTATTGTATAATTACCTCCACTTTCTTCTATTACTAGAATAAGGATTCTTATGAGCTATCACCATGTTTGTAGGGTTCTGGGGTTCCAAAGGTTAACATTGCCTGACATAGAATGAGCCCTCAATATTTGATGACTCAATACAATAGAGGCAGTCTGTGTAATACATGAATGGACAGTGTGGAGCATGCTGCCTGGGCCCCCTCCAGCCAGCTATGCACTTGAGCTTGCATTCAACCATAGCACAGCTGTGCCCTCATCTGTTAAGAGGGGGTAATAATAGCACCTACTGCAGAGGTTGTCAGGAGGATTAAATGAATTAACATGTAGGCAAAACAGAATAGTACTGTGCACATAGTAAAGGGCACATTAAAATATTAGTTATTATCATTAAAATGTCAGAAATTATACATGCCATAAACTATACATACCATATCCTATTTTTAATTTTGTATACCCTCTACATTTGCACTGCATTTGTACATTTGTACACTTCATACACACTTTCCTTTTGATACATAATATTCACCACAGTAAGTACTACAATTCAATTTCTTATTTTATTATTAAGAGTTTTGTTCCAGATTTTAGAAGGAATGCCTTCAAGTTTTCCCCATTTAGAATGATGCTAGCCTGAGGCTTAGCATAAATAGCTTTTACAATGTTGAGGTAAGTTCCTGTTATCCCTAGTTTTTCTAGTGTTTTGAACATAAAGGGTTGCTGTATTTTATCAAATGCTTTTTTTGCGTCTATCGAGATGATCATATGGTTCTTATCTTTAAGTCTATTGATGTGGTGAATTACATTTATTGATTTCCATATATTGAACCAGCATTGCATCCCAGGGATGAATCCTACTTGATCATAGTGCACGATCTGTTTGATATGTTTTTGTATCAGATTTGCCAGAATTTTATTGAGGATTTTTGCATCTATGTTCTTTAGAGATATTGGTCTGTAGTTTTCTTTCTTTGAAGTGTCTTTGTCTGGTTTAGGAATCAGGGTGATGTTGGCCTTGTAGAATGAATCTGGAAGTACTCCCTCTTTTTCTATTTCTTGAAACAGCTTGAAAAGTATTAGTATTAGTTCTTCTTTAAAGGTTTTGTAAAACTCTGCTGTATACCCATCCGGTCCTGGGCTTTTCTTGGATGGTAGTATTCTGATGGCTTCTTCTATTTCCTCAATTGATATTGGTCTGTTTAGGTTGTCTATATCCTCCTGACTCAATCTGGGTAGATCATATGACTTAAGAAATTTATCGATGCCTTCACTATCTTCTATTTTATTGGAGTATAAGGTTTCAAAATAATTTCTAATTATCTTCTGCATTTATGTAGTGTCTGTTGTGATATTGCCTTTTGACCCAGCTATTCCCCTTCTTGGACTATACCCAAAAGACCTAAAAAGAGCATACTACAGGGACACAGCCACATCAATGTTCATAGCAGCACAATTCACAATAGCTAGACTGTGGAACCAACCTAGATGCCCTTCAATAGATGAATGGATAAAAATATGTGGCATTTATACACAATGGAATATTACTCAGCACTAAAAAAATAACAAGATCATGGCATTTGGAGGGAAATGGATGGCGTTAG